TTAAAAGCCAAGTCGTGTAGACAAACAGGTGTCAAGATCGCACAATGTCACCTTTCAATACGCCGGTTGAACCCCTCAAAAACCCTCAAAAAGACTCATTTTAACACAATTTCTGACATGATTACCAAGTATAATTATTATCACTTTCCTTCTTGAATCCTGGAAGTTTTGGGGACTGGCGAAGATTTTTTTGAAATAACATATTTTCCCACAGATGGCGAAGTGATTACATGGGCTCTGATCAGTTATGTGTGGGTGCGCTCGGGAGTCTCGGCCGATGGATTGCGATGGTTTTGTTTCCTCGCAGACGCGATAGATCACCCGTGAGCCGGCAGAGACGCGCAGACGGGGTCGCGTCGGGCCGCCCCGGGGACGACGCGGTAAACGAGCTCCGAGCCAGCGGCCTTCTGGGAAGACGCCGCCGGCTGAGAAGAAGCGAGCATTCAGGTGCGTGAATGAAGGCAGCTGGGGATTTAACTGCAGTGAGGAATATAAAAGTTAATCACACCGTGGAAGGAGTGGAAAAGCAGCAGACGTTGGAAACAGAAAGATAACCGCTGCTGTTGAGGGGAAATAAAAAGCAGCTGCATAATCACTTCTTTTTTAGTGTCTGGCTGCAGAGTTACGAGAAGGTCGAAGGATCTGAGCAGAAAAGAGCCACCGTGAGGCTCCGGGGAAATCAACCTCATGAAACGTTCTCACCCGATAAACAGGCCGCGGTGATCGCCGTTCATCTTTCTTTCCCTGAAAGCTGCTCGGAATCATTGACTTCCTTTTTCAAAGATCCACACCACGATTTGCTCCTTGATTCCCGTTTCGCAGGTTGATTCTATTTCAAATGAAAATGCGCATCAGGAGATCGTGGGCGAGTCGCACAAAAGGACCCGGTTGAGGAAGAGGAGGAAGAGATGCGACATCCAGAAGGTAACCCGGAGGTGAGAGTTCGGGGGGGGGGTCCGCTCCAGCCGATGGCTAACGAGCAGCAGGTGTGTGAGAAGGAGGAGGTACATGCACAGCAGCTGGGATCAGAATAACGTCTGGAATCGTGCAGGATGCTTGTTCGATTTCTCACGAGCGGCAGCCGGTGCCGCCGATGGCTTCCCTCTCGGAGGAGTCGGCCATGTGGCCACGTGCGGTTCGTCTTTGGTCGGGCAGGCGTGGCCCCAAACAGCTGCATGTGCGTTGCTTGACGGGCCGGCGTCGTCCTTCGGTGCTCGTACGAATCCCCCCCCCCCAGACGAACCAAAAGTAAAGAAAACGTCTTCTTCCCGTCAAAGTCGATCTTCCCAACCGATGCTCCGTTGGGCGGGAACCTGAAGGGGATTTGCCGTCTTCTGTGTTCTTCTGGAAATCAAATCGTCCAAAATTTCACTTTTCTGTCAGCATCAAACTGTTTTTAAGAGACAGAGGAGCGCCGAGCCGGGCAAACTCTTATCGGAACCCTGGAGACCGGCGCTGAGAACAAGGCCCGTTGAACACGGAGAGGCGCTTTCGTTCCGTGCATTCGGCTGAACGCTGATTGAAGGTGAAAAAAAACAAAACAAAAAAACCCTGCCGGCAGTAACCAGGTTGTTGTTTTCCCCTCCGGAGTCCCCAGAGATCTGCTGCACCTCTGCGACGACAACAACAAACCCCCCCGAACAGATGATCGGAGTGGAGGAGCCGCGTGAACACGAACCGAATGAAAGGCTGAATCATGAATCATTTAGATATGAACAAAAGGGAAAGCAGAACGTCCTTGGATGAGATGCAACAGAGGACGTTACCTTTCGATCAAAGATTCATCGAGCTCTCTTAATCCACGTGTCGAAAACGTCTTTATTAAAGCTCGGGTCGACGTCATGGGAGGATGAATGAGGAGCGAGCGGGACTTTTAAAGTGCGCCTGGTTGTGGGGGGATAATGAATGATAAATAAAGATCCTTTCAACTAATATAAGCGATACGTCCTTTAATGCGAAAACAGTTTATATTCTGTTGCAATTATTACAGCTTTAACGTTTATGTCACTTCAGAGACATGAATACAATCCCGCTCATGTCGTTTCATGGGAATAATACATTGTGTTGAGGATTTCCTGCGACATACATTCGAGTTGTGTACTTTTTCTACAAAAAAGTAGCTTTAGGTTTGAGAAGGAGGGAAACACGCCACGTCTGGAAGGAGCGCTCAATCACTTCTCTTTTCCCCTCTCCAGCCTCCATTTGTCCCCCTGTCTGTGGAGACAATTCCTCACTGACGTCCACAGAATTTCAATCCGGGGAAGCGGGGTCGTAGGTCACAGTGGGGAGACGGGATGCCTCTTATTGCCAAAGGCCATTTCCTCTACTTGTTGGATAAAAAAGGGATTTTTTCCCCCATCTGGTCCGCTGCAGCGCTTAACACACCGCACGAGTCAATCTCATTTGCGCTGCCTTTAATCAAGGTTGCAGTCTCGCTGGGCTTCAACGACGCCTACATAATAAAAGAATAATTGAGAACAAGGACAAGCTAAAACCAAACTCTGCCCTGTGGGGAAATTAAACTTGAGCTAAATACAGAAAACACCGAAATGAATATATTTGGTTGATGCATTATTCATGTTCCTTTTAGTAGACATTTAACTGAGGCTGCGAACGTTTCTCCCGCCTCGCCGGCCTTTTAAAGCGCAGACACTAATGAGCCACGCGACGCGCGACTGTAATCTGCTTACGGTCGGCTGTGGCGTCGACGCGTGTAAACGTGTCGATAAAACGCTTTTCTGAGCGTATCGTGGGGCACCGAAACCCGCGACAGGCCCCGCTAGAGCGGTCTTTCCGTTCTGACACCCCCCCAGTGGAGCCGGCAAGACCCAGGAAAGAGACGGGGAGCCGGGGGAGGGCGGTGGGAGATGAGGGTGGCTTATTTTAACAGGGGGTTTCTTTAATGGGGGCGGGGGGGGGGGGGGCCGCAGCGGGGTCAACGAGCGCCTTTAGCGGGACAGAAACCTCGCGATGTTGACTACAATGAGGCAACTCAACACAATGTTGTGTTTTTGCAAAAATAAGATATGAAGTCTTTTGATGGGCCACGGTGGTGTGAAAACATACGTTTGCTAATAATTCAGAATATTTTGTAAAAAGAAGTCATGAGGAATTGAAACCATCTGCTTTTGAGGGGCGGTGGTGGTGCAGTGGTCAGCACCGCCGTTCCGGGTGGAGTTTTCCCGATGCTGAGTAGTTGTGAGAGAGAAAGTGTGTATCTAGTATGACGCAGAACATTTTAAAAGAGCCAAGAGGAGAACAAGCGAGGGACAAAACGTTTAAAAGTTGTCGGTTTTGCAGACGATATTTATCAGATGGCTCAGCGGTCTTCGGTTTTAAGAGCACCTTGACTCCGCCTGTCCTCCTCGGCAGGAGATAACGACGGTCTAATCTCTAATGGGAAAATAACCGGGAGGAACAGAGCTAATCTGTGACGGAGAAATAACAACATTCGAAACACGGCTGGCTGCAGACCAGGTGTACTTCTGAAGGGATTATCCTCACGTGTCCATCGGCCTCCACACAGAGCGGTCCGTGGTCCTCCTGATACGCATCCAGCCCCATAACGGTCCGCCTATCCAATAAGGAATAGATTTGTGCACACGCTTGTCAGGCGTGTTGAGGAGGTTTGAGGAAGAGGCTGCAGGCCTTCCACACGGCAGAATCCAGGCGATTACAATCAGGGTTTAACTCCCCTCGTGAGCGGAAAACCACTTGAATCCCAGAGAAGAGACACGGATCATTTGGCGTTAATCGTCCCCCCCCCCCCCGTTGATTAAATCTTCTGCGCATCCCCATGTGAAATCGACATTCCTGCAGAGGGACCTGCTCGATGAAGGAGGCCTGTCTTCATCTACTGAGCCGACGAGAAGCGGTACTGTTGCTTCTTAAAGTAACAACACATTGATGCTTATGTTGGCGCGTGATCTGCTAACTTTATGCAAAGATAACTGCACCTTTTTATCTAATGACGGCGCAGTTATCAGATCCTGCTTGGATAGCATCACAACTGGACGAATCCCTGCGCGCGTCATCAACATGCAGATGTGTCCATTAGAGATGAACAGTACAGATGTGATGAATGGAAACCAGAAGCTTGCTTTGTCTCCTCCAGGCTCCTGGTTTTATTCGGGGCTTGTTCAACCTCGTTGGTCTCAGTGCCGATTAGTACATGTTAGCATCGCTAACATTAGCATTCAGCAGTCGTCCAGCTTTGCAGTTGAAAAGTGAAGCCACTGAAACTGTCTTAAAGCTGCATTCTCTGCAGTGACCACTAGGGGGCGACTCCTCCGGTCCTACAGTAGTCTATGAGAAAATGACTCTACTTCTCTCTGGATTTATTTCCTCAGTAAACATTGTGAACGTGAGCTGATGACGTCGTCTCACGTATACGCTCGGGTCTAAGGACCTTTTCACCGCGCGTTATCTGGTTACCGTCGGTGTTCATCACCGCGTTCGACCACATCAAACACGCGCGCCGCACGCGGTAGATTAGTGGAGGCCCTCGGGAAGGTTCTCTCCTCCCGCGTCTTTTGACATCGCTCACGATGTCGGTTTATCATCTTCACATCTGTCCTCTGATCCCAACCGGCAGATGAGAAGATTTAAACCGAGTCCTGCGCGTCTCGAGTGTTTGAACAGGCGGTCGGGGGCCGAGTGGCTCCTCGCTGAGGAGTCGCTTTGATCTCCTCGGCTCCTGGATGCTTCACAGCTTTACATAATTACCTCATCGCCGTGGACGGACGTGTCCCCTCCCACGCTGCGCGGTTTGAAAGGAGCAAATATAAAAAGATGTAAATGTATGTAAATTGTTCCGGTTATTGACGGGGACGTCTTTGCTGTGTGTCGGCTTGATTTAACAAAGAAACAAAAGAGCTCGGCGGTTTGAAAGTTTGAAGAAAGAATCCCACCGTGACAAATGTGAATTTGACAAATGTGACAAATGTGCTTTCTGTCCTTCCCGAGGTGTGAATGTAGGAACAAACTGCTCCACGAGCCGATTGGATTCTCTCCTGTTAACATTTATTCCTCTGGTGAATCATCAACAGAATTTAGCTGATCAAAACAAACCGGAATGAGAGAATGTGTCACTCACAACATCACGGATACACTGAGCAGCAAATGGAACAATTTGTCTGTTTCTGACCCAAACGCACTGGTCAACATGTAGATATTAGATGTGGAAAAAGGTCACAAAATACAGACCTGTTTATTTTTTCTTCAGTTTCAACAGAAGAGACAATAACGGGGACGGTTTTCAGCGGATTAGTGCACATTGTCTTCTCTGGAGAGTCTTTAGGGCAGCGGCTCTAGCACGCGTTAGCACGTTAGCCTTTAGCTCGCCAGTTAAAACATTCTACAAAACAGCCGCAGTAAGTTCGCCCGGGATCAACATATTCCCTGAAGACATGTGGATGACTTTGAGAGCGTTGTCTTATCTTTTTATTTCTCTCTGGCTGAAGGTCAAACCCTCTTTTCCCCCGCCTGCTCGTTTGCACACATCAGCGCTCGCGTCCTCGACTTCCTGCTAATGTTTCCCGCATATCGACTAAAGGAAATAAAAAAACAACATCCCCTCTCTGTATCTCGATAAACTATTTATTTTTCGCAGCGTCCTTCCAGCTGCGCTCGGCCGCCGGGGGTCGATCCGCTGTCAAGGTCACCCGTTGAGTTGGCGAACACGGAAAAACACAAAGAAACAGATGAAGTTTTATTCAGCGAATCAACACCTTTAGCTCATTTTCAAGTGTTGACATTCGTCTCCTCGCTCTGGCTCTCTGCTCCCGTTTGGAGTCACCGTCCACCTGTCAGCGCCGAGCAGATTAGCGTTTAAAAAACGCATTAACTGTCTGCGCAGGCGGCGACACGCGGCCGCACGCTGTACGGCTGAAAGCTTTACTCTTCAGCGGCATGTAGAGAGCTGCACACAGCCGGAAGGAGGAAACATTTGGAATAGAGAGAAAAAGCTGAAAATCCCTTGCAAAAAAAAAAAAAAGCTTGCAAAATATAGGAACCAAGAAGCGTGTAACGACGGAAGAGAAAAGAAAGAAATAAGTATGACAGAAAGAGAGGAGTAAAAATTCTCTCCCACTATCTGCAAGCTCGGCACGTTTCCCCTTAAACAGGCCTGAGAGGCTCTGAGGAAAAACCCAAAACCACTTAAAGCTCCAAACAGCAGATTCTTACAGACTGGACTTTCCACCGAGGGTCAGCTGTTCGCTTCGTGTCCGTCGTGTTTCTGCTCAGGTTATAGCCACGTTTTTGCCAGTGGGTTCGCTATGGAAATATTTACTTGCGGTACAGAGGGAGGTTTATTTTGAAGAGACACCATGCGTGTTTGATGACTCATGACTGGCGTCGCTGTCTAATCACAGTTCAAACGAGCGTCCGTCAACGTCATGGAAACGACTCCAGTCACGGTTTCAGGCGCCCAGATTGACTGAAATAAAGTTGTGTTTAAGTAAAAATCAGAACCTTTCCATTTGACACGTTGGCTTTAGTTGGCCGTAGACTTCACTTCCACGTTTACATTTTTGAATATTTAAAAGGATATCAACAGGTTTTAAGTCCAGCACTGTTTGTATTTACATTCGCAGTATGTACAGTGATGTTTCCTGTGCAGCCGCATTCTCCGGCGAAGCCTCTGAGCGGCTCTGAGTGGAGCGTCTGTCCGTCGGGCTCGTCGCTCAGATGAAGTACTCCTTTGGGTTTTCGGTGGAGACGCTCTGGGAGTCCCTCTGGGTGGTGAAAGTGAAATCTCCGCTGTCCTCCTGTTTGACTCCCCCGGCTTCCTGGTTGCCGTACGTCTCTTTCCGGCGGTACAGGAACCGGGCGGTTAGCGCCAGACCGCTGGCGATCAGGAAGATGGCCACCGCTATGACACCTGCGAGGTGGAGGACATCCGCTGTGAGACTCATTTCATTTCTTACCAGCAGTTAGAAGAGAAGGATCCCCGGGGCGTGTTTAGCTCGAGCCAGCTGGCCAAAAATACGCAAAAAGCACTTTCCCGCGATTAGCCATTGTGCTAAGCTAAGCTAAGCTAAACAGTAACAATCTCCCAATTCAAAATGATCCTGAATCAACTCCTTTGAATATTTCGGCAGGTGGAGAAAAGTTTTGCCACACGAGAGAGAAAAGATCGTGAGCAATTATTTCACTAGTGTTTCGGTGCTTTTATTGTGAAGGAGAGGATGGAGAAAAAGGAGAAAAGGGGGAAAGAAGTGTTGAGGAGCGTGTCGCGTTATTGTAGCTGCCGCGTTATTGTTTTTTTACTAACCTGAAGTACATGAACCCTCAACAACAAATAGTTTTTATTCCTATTTAAAGCATGATAATAAAGAGGTGCACTTCCGCCTCTTGTGGCCTCAATAAGCAGTAAATAAAGTAGCTTTTTTTCCAGGCAAAATCCTTTCATGAAAACAATTCCATTCCCTCACAATATTTACGCTACTTCTGCTGATAAATGCAACTCGGTGACCTTTTAAGTGACCTTTGCAATGCAGGACTTTTGCTTGTATTTACACATTGTGGTATTTCCACTTCTACATTATTTAATTAAGTACTTCTTTTACTCCGCCGGTGACAACCAACCGAGCGGCGTCCACACTGAGCAGCGGCACGAGTTACACCAATGTGATTGTGGTGTTGTGGGTGTGCGTCCCGACGGACACGCTGACCTTCTGGGGGGGATTTAATCGATTTCAGTGGACTTTGTGGAGCTGCTGCGATGGTTTCTGCCCCCCTCCTTCCCCCCCCCCCTTCCTCCGGCGCAAGTGTGTGAATTTAAACTGTGGTGTTTGAAGATACGAGCGCGAAGGTTTCTATTTAATTACCCGTTGTGCACCGAGACACAGACACACACATTTAATAACGGACACTTTTCAGTGACTTCTGACTGATAACAGCTCATCACTTTGAGCCAATCTGACAGGGCCGATTCCGTCACTGTCGCCGTTGGTGGAATTCTGATGTAGCTCAAGAAGAAGAAGAAAAAGGTGAAACGGGTTCCGTACCTCCGATCAGGGCCGAGTCAGTCCTGACGGCGTTGACCAAAGGTTGACCCGAACCCGCGGAACCAGACTGGTCTACAGCAGAGAGAGAGAAAGGCAGGAAGTAGGAAACACCAGAGAGAACATCAGAGCCGACGGGGGAAAAACAGCAGCAGCTCTCCAGAGCGACGTGAAGCGGGACGAAGACGAGAGCCGAGGAGAGACTCTGGAAACCGCGTCTCACATTAATTATCTCGTCGAGCGCGTCGCCGTGATTCTCCTCGACGAGCCCGTTGAACAGTTTGAAACGGGAGCTCCTACCGAGAGCAGGAACGAAGCGGCTGCTCGCGTTCAGCACAAAAATCGTAATTATTGGGCAGTGAGGCCTAAATTGAGGTGATAACATCCTCCGATCTTGCGGCTCTTAGGGCGGTTGAGCCCCTCAACTCAAACTAAACTAAACCTGTGACTCCTCCCCTCCTACCTGACAGGTGGTGCGTGTCCTCCGCTGCGTGCGGATTGGCCGACGCCGAGGAGCCGCAGGTGGACTGGACCAGAGGTCCCGTGATGACGACGGGGCTGCTGTGCGGGTGGAGCAGAGCAGCTTTCAGAGGGCTGACGGGGTTAAAGCGAACCACCGAGAGACAGCCGGTAAAACCCAGAGACGCCAAGGGGGACAGCTCCGGGTCCACGTCCTCCGACCCTGGAGACAGAAGAGTGAGAGACTGGAAATTGTGGTTGGACATATATGTTTATATTGTAAAACACGGTTTATTCATCCTAAAATGTGATATTACACCTTTTTTAATACTCAATTCTGCCACGTTTTAAAAAAAGAGTTAATAGAAAACTGCAGAGTAGTAGATAAGAAGATTTGTTTAGCTTAGCTTAGCATAAAGAGATTAAAAAGCTCAGGTGTGTCCAATTGGAACAAAATGCTCCTATAAACGCTAACGTGTTATATGTCGTTATATGTCGGGGTGGGTGGAAGGCAGGACTCAAACGCAGAGTTTAGTCCAAAAAGGGACTTTTATAGTCAAAAACTTCCAAAACTCAAAACTCCAAAAAGACACGAACGAGGTTTAGGGAACAAGAGACAGGAACATGGACAAGGACATAACAGCTAACAGCTAACAATGACGCGACAAGGGACAACAAACACACATGGTTTAAATCCACTAGGGCGGTGCAGGTGATTGGACACAGGTGGAAACAATCAGACAATCACAGGTGACGACGGGACAAGGCAGGAAGTGAAGTTAGCCAGGGAGACATGATGCAGACACTACAAAATAAGACAGGAAATAAACCACAATGTGACATTATAATCACAATAAAAAGACACAACTACTCTTTGTGGTCTTACAGGCGCTGATCGTAGCTTTTAATTACACTCTTCTTATTCACAAATGTTTTGCTGTTATTTTAGTCCCTTATTTCTGCACCCAGCGTGAAACAAAGGGCCTGGTTGCTAAAGATGGTTCCTCACAACGGCAGACTTTCCTCTTAAAAATAGAACAAAGACTTTATTTTATCGGTGCACGGGTTAACAAACCGAAAGCCTTGAGTTTTAGAAAGAGCTCAGAAACAGGATTTGACTCATCGATACTATCGATTGAACTTTCGACCTCTCGTTTAGAGGCTATCGCGCTGACAGGCTCATTGACTCCGCCTCGCACATCTGGAGCAGGACAATAGTGGCAGCAGATTGACTTTAGTGATTAGCGCACAAACACACAGGCGCGCGCGCACAACGCAGCAGACAAAACCGGCGTTGCTTTGGCTCCCGGTCTGCATCCATCACTCCCGCAGACAGATGTGCCTCCTGTCGGCTTACTTCATCGACTTAAATCGCTTCATCGTTCACCTCCTTCCTCCGTGAGCGGGCCGCTCAGATGACTGAGAGGCGGCGCGTCCGTGACGAGAGCACCGGGAAACGTTACGGTAAGCGCCCCTCAGCAGGAACAGCATCACTCCGTCACCCCCACCCACCCCCCCACCCACATCTGTGTCTCCCTGTATTCCATCCGGGGGCATTAGTTAGGGAGATGGATGACAGGGTTCTGCTGGAAACAACAGAAAATCCTGCTGCTTTTCTGATCTTGATGTGACTGTCTGCCTGCTGTGTTTTCACCCCGCGGGAGAAGGAGGATGATGGGGGGGGGCACATGCCGACGCGACGGGGTTCAAACGGGCCGAGCGGAGAGACGACGTCCTGGAGCTTCACACACGTTTGATTTTGATTATTTCACCAAAGGGTTTGAAGGCAGAAACCAAAGGCCGACATTGTGGGATGAACCGGAATGTTTTCATCATCTCTGTGCAAATACTCTGTGGAAATAAAGAATATCTAAATAACACGTACTCATGCAATTCAATGAAATATTCCTTTGCGTCTTCAAGCACATAAACAGATCAACGAAGAAAGCTTATTATTTTTATTTAGAGTGTCACACTGCTGCTGCCTCCTTTCTAGTGACACAAACAGAAGCAGAGAAGGAGGCTCAACGTTATTCTTGTCTATTTATGTGTATTTATGTTAAATGTTTGCAGCATCCTGACGAGAACAATTCCTCTGCAACAAATGGTTCTACTTCTGATCCTTCAAGTCGGCGTGGTCCTGGTCGCATGCCGCTTGGTTTCCCGTTAATGTGACTCAGAGATCCGCGGCCCCTTCGCCCCCTCGCGCTATAAACAGCTCTCCCCTCACAGGGAACATAAATAAGTCATGACGCAGGTAATGTCCAGAACCCCCCCGGGGGCCTCGGCTCAGAGGACGTGGTTGAACTCCCCACGGGGGGGGGGGGGGGGGGGCTTTTTCTTTACAGGTTGACAGGTGTTCAGGTGATTTACAGGAAGTCAGACTCCCGGTTCAACTCCCGCCTTTTACTGATGCTGAGCACATCTGTACGACGTGCTTCTGTCTTCATGACGACCAGTGAAAGGTAATCAATTATTATTAAGCCAATCAATTACGCATCAAGCTCTTTTAAGTTAGTGAGTTAAATATACACAAAGTTGGGGGAGTTTTTTTAATTTTTGCTTTTTTCACTTACCTGATTTTCACCAATTTACAAACTATAGAACAGTAAATAATGTCAATTAATTTACAATTATAATATAGTGTGCAACGACTCATGATTATAAAAAGGGCGATAAACTAGGTCGTTGACTAAATCAATGATTCTGGACCAAGTCGTCTTCTTCTTCTTCACAAGTAGACGGTTCAGGTCATTCACCCGTGCCGTCGGGTCCGCAGAGCGTACGGTCGAAGCGGTGAGAGGACCGACCTTTTCACTACACGTCCTCATTCACCCGTTCAACCCCATTCATGCGCTGATGAGCGGAGCCACCTGCCCATCAGTCACTGACATGCACGCGCCGAGGCCGTGAACCTCGTGACCTCGACGCCTCCTCACCCCACCGTGCACTCGGCCCAACACCAGCGACTTGATGGCGTTGAATTCTCCGTCGGCTGTCAGGTTGAAGTCTTCTTTGGGTCTCTGGTCGATCTGAAAGGGAAACGAATGTTTGCTTTGAATTCGCCTTTAGAAGGGAGGATGACTCGTGGCAGTGGACGCTTACCGTGTAAACGTTACATCTCAGCCACAAAAGTTCCACGAATGTAACCTGTAAATATCTTTATCCAGACGAAAGCGTCTCCATATGCATGTCTCTAAATACACAAAGCTTTGGTATGATGGAAACTGATATTTCACCGGAGCCTCACACAGCCGGCCGCTGCAACACGAGGTCACCTTGTTTTCCATCTCGGGCCGTTGATAATTATTCAATACGGCAGCTGGTTAGTGGAAGTGAACCTCATATATCACGAGCGGCTGCAGCTACCAAGATAAGACATTCAGAAGATCCAGATATGATTTCAATGCTCCATATTTCATATTTAATGTGTGGTTTGTCCCCTTAAAGGGATGACGGGGGGCTTCCCACATAGATGAGTATCACTGTACTGTGTCATAGTGGACACAGGAAGTAGACGGGTCCGCCCCCGCGTGTGCATCTGTGTGTACGTGGTACATTCGCCCTCTGGGATCGGTGCCTCATTTGGAAAACATCGAAAAAGGGTTCAGCCGCCCGCCGTCAGCCTCTAGTTCCCGTTCGTGAAATGCACCCAAACGTTTAACACGATGCAGCTGGAGGCGGATACGGAATCAATGTAATTCTGTTGCTCGGCAACAACCCGGGTCCTTGTCAACGTCCTGTCGGGCCTTAACGATGCGGCGAGGTGTTGTCACCTGCAGGGACACGGCGTCGGTCCGCCTCCGGACGGAGACGGCGTGGAGGCGTCCGTCCGCCAGGCTCCTCGCGGTGCTCCTCAGCACCTCGGCGGCCCGGCTGCCGTCCAGCTTGTACCTCACCTCCAGCGCCTCTTCACACACAAACGCACATCAAACCATCGGGTTACGGAGTAAGAGATTCACAATTAAAATGTGATTATCATTTAGAGCCTGCTGAGTTCTAGATGATATTGATATATGTGAATCCAAAGAGGGGCTTCCTTTATTAATTGATATGTCTATATTAAGAGTTCCATATTGACACTGCAGCTAATCTAATTAGTTGTAATTATTCCAGTTAATATTTAGAACAAAAAGAGCAGCTTTAACCATAATGGTGTACATGAATACATCCTACATCAAAGGTGTGAGGGAATAATTGGTTTTCGTGGGAGGACCTGCAGCTACCTGCTGATGATAACACATTTGTTCTGGAAGAAAGGCCGCAGGGTGCGTTCGCGCTGAGGAGGTGTAATTGCAGTCGAGGGTGAAAAGAAACGAGCCCTCTCAAGGCGAATAAGAGAAAGCTCTTAGGGATTTAATTGGACACTTCAGTTTAAGTGTGTATCTCCGCGGCCCGCGGGACGCCTGAACGCCCCGCTGTCCATCAGTCATTAACGCCGGGGAAGAAAACATCCATTTGCGGCTAATCTGCCCGCAAAGTGACTACTAGATTTTGGGGCCTTTAAACATCTCTTAACAGCCAAACTCGGCAACACAACATTATGTCGCACAAAAGTAAACAAAGCGCATGAGCAAGTTTTCTGCCCTTTTGTTTTTCAATTTCAGAGCATGACAAATCCTATTCACCCTGTATTTATACCACAAGTTTCTCTGGTTTCTGTCTTCTGAGCGCAACAAACCCGCCAAGATAGAATTCCACCAAGCGAGTCGACCGATGAAACGGCCGCCGCCTCCAAGGCTTTATTATATTTATTCAATAGCGCCGATGTTAACTGTGATTTGAGCATCTGTTTAGGAGTAAAACGGGAGCTGGAAAAATAAAGACTTTTAGGTTAAAGGGTAACCGCCCATCAGGGGAAAAGTAAAGCCAACAAGTCAAGAGATGAATTCATTGGTCATCACACAACCGCTCTTCTATTAGCTGGGCAGTTTTGAGGAAGAAGAATCTAAGAGCAGACGTGTCGGAGACCAGGACATCTGAGCGCAAACATTCGACCTGAGAAGAAGTCCTGTTTAGGAGTGAGGACAGCGGTTTGAAGGAGAGCTTCACAAAATGGTGAAACGGTGAAATGAACAAGTCACACGCTCAAATTGAAGGAAAAAGAATGAGTGATAAGACAACAACTTCTTCAGCCTGAGACTAAATGTGAGACTAAATGTGATAGCTGGACGGATTAAAAGGCAGTGGAGGCTGACAGGGTGAATCCAGGGAGAGGAGAGATGTGACAGAGCGGATCCGGTAAAGGAGGAGAGGTCGATAACGGGAGAAAATTGCATGAGTGAAAGAAAGAGGAAACGAGAGGTGAGATGCAGACGGAGGAAAGTGATTGAAAAAGGTTGAGCGAGGAAGAGGAAGAGGAAGAGGAAGAGACTCGTAGCAGGTTTAACAAACATGAACGAAAACAAAACAGAGGGGAGTAACTCGAGGTAATTATAACAAATACAAATAGGCGAACAAAACAAAGCTCTCCCCCCCGAGGCTTAAAGATCTGCCCCGCGAAGGAACTCCTTCAAAATAAAAGCCTCCTCACCGTGCTTGTTGATGAGCAGGGCCAGGGACTCCCCGTGGTGCGAGCTGACGTAGAGCAGCAGAGCCGGACTCTGGTTGGTCCTGAAGCTCAGCGAGACGTCCTCTCCTCTCAGGGTGGTGTCGGAGTAGACGGAGGAGGGCCGGGCGCTGCTGTTCCGTCCTGACTCGTGCGGCTGCTTGAAGGTGTAGCTGACGGTGGTCCCCGGCAGGAAGCTGGCCGACACCTCTGGAGAAAGAATTCGTCGGGAGTCGTTGCTGTTCTGCGATGAGGATTTGTCATCGATAAACACATGAGATCTAAAGCTACGGGCGTAGGAGGCCAGTGCCTCACCCATTGGGAATAAAAACTATACATATATTAAACTTCAACACATTATCTGCATTGCTGATTTAGTCTGTACATTCTCCACCCTGCGACCATCTTGCCAATTGCTTTCCATCGGCAGTGAGCAGAAGCAGAAACACTTGATTTGTAAAATATCGCTTTGTCTGATAAATATCAGCAATAAGCAGAAACTTTTATTTTTCATTAAACCACGTCCCTGTTTATTAGACTATCAATATGAATGAACTTCACTTATGTGTGTTTATTATCTTATTCGGTGTTGGAGAATGTCAAGTTTTTAATACAACATTAAAAAATCCTACATGATCAATTTCAAAGGGCAGAGTACAAACAAACATATATTTAGAGTTTCATCCCCAGAGATCCTCGGCTTTAATTAACTTCCAAAGGAAGCCTCAGATCAACTCTCCATGTTTGATTAGTAAGCAAGAGAAGTAAAAGAGGCTCTCAAAATATCTACAAAGCATTGAAAATATATATATGTATGTACATATTATAGCAAATGAAATAGTCGAACCGTCGAGACCAATTTCACAACAGAAAACAGAGATGGACTTTGTTCAAATCAAATAAACCACATCAAACAGACATCAAACGGACTCTGTCATTGGGTGCTACGTGTTCATGTGTGTGTTCAGTAACAACTTCTCTGAAATAATGCACAGCGTTTACATTAAGTCACAAAAAACAAAGACATGTGAGATCTTTCCAGCAGATGACGTCTTCACTACCGTCGTAATTTCACAACAGGACATTGTTCACTCGTCGACTCGTCCTCCACATCTAAGCGTGGAGCTCTTTCCATCCCGCTGTCCATGGTGCTGAACACTGCTTACCTCATACACATGGACGCCTTTTCTCTGGTTCGCTCGTTCATGTGTGCGTGTACCTGTGTGGCAGAAGGCTCCGGTGTGCGCCGACAGGCCGCAGTCGCACAGGAAGCCGTTGGCCCTCTCGGCGCAGCGGCCCCGGTTGCGGCACAGCGACCCGTAGCTGCCGCAGTGACCCGGGCAGCCGGCCCGAACCCCCGGCGTGATCCTCGCCCTCTCCTCCAGGTCCAGCGTGACGCCGTTCAGCTGCAGGGCGCGGATGCAGCCCCGGAAGCCCTTCTGCCTGGACGCCGTGCCTCCTGCAAACGCCGACGACAAGGAGAGGAAACTCAGCCGCGTCAAGCTGTGGAGGCAAAGCGGCCGCCTCATCGCTCAGCGCTTCAGCCGCGAACGGGCTGCGCGTTCGCCCCGCGATGCAACACGACAGCTTCCCATTCCTGCAAAGAATTGGAAGTGTTGTTGGGTTCGGAGGCGCTCTTTGCTCTCCGAGTCAGAAGCTGACAACTTGCTGTTGTAAAGGTCAATAAATCACCTCCTCAGCTCTGCCGCCTCCCTCTGCTCTGATTTGACCCGTTTGAATTATTGAACCGACAGAGAAACTCGTCTCAACATTTCCTCTGTCAAGAAAACAGCAGGGAGTCTTTTTTCATCCTCATTAAAGTCGACTGAAAGTCATGTGATTAAGATTCGGGACCTTAAGGACTCGAATAGAAAAAAAACTATCTTTGAAATTGGAAATATTAAATTCATAAGGTTGGCACACCGACTGCTCTCACCTGCACTCTAATAACAACTTACTTTAATGTGCCTTCCATTTTGTAAATGCATTTTTTTATTTTAATCAGCATCCTATTGCAAGTGTTATTAAATTTAGAAATTCATGCAGCCAATCAGACGCGGTTACCCCATAAATCCCCTCGCTTCAAAACTGATGAATGTAGCGCTGCTACATTAAAGATAAGGAAATTGTTTACTAGATGTTACCCAAAAGATTGAAAAAAACATTTTGCTTCAGATAGAAATGAGGTGATTGGATGTTACAGTTTTCTGTGGAACTCATATTTTACTTTCAAGATATTAGATATCCATTAACGTTCCTGGTGATTTAACCGGAATGTGTTTGCAACTCTCTAGTAGTCACTTATGGTTAACATGACATGTGTGAAAGTTGTGTCCCAGCGGGAGCCGGAGACGGATCCCTGAGGACCGCCACCTCTGATCAAAGGTTATCAGAGTGGGGAGGATATCGGCTTCACGTCTACAACATGGAGAACACCCTCCGCACATCAAAATGCTTACAGGTAGAACTTAAAAGGGCGCAACAGCGTGCAGATCAAAGACAGAGAGATGAAACGATCAGTGAGAGCTTCCAGTCGTCATATCAGCTCAGCTAGTGTCTCAGCTTCCATCCTGCAGCGCGCAGACTGGAGCCCGTGAGAACGCACGAGCGTGGAAAACGATTAGCGTCAAAGTCTCCATCAAAGGCGACGCATGTGCAAACATCGGCATCAGGCGCGGAGAGAGCGAAACGTGGACGGACGGGAGAGAACAGCATTAAAGGTCTCATGCTAATGGTTCCTCCAAATGTCCCGTTGATGGAATCGAAAGATACCTCGACAGCAGGTTTTCAAACAAATCGCATCTACTGATCTGCGAAGAAGCCTCGCGGATCGGCAGCTAAAGGCGCGGCAGCTAAAGACGCGGCAGCTAAAGACGCGCTAGCTAAAGACGCGGCAACTAAAGGATCGGCAGCTAAAGGTTCGGCAGCTAAAGACGCGGCAGCTAAAGACGCGGCAACTAAAGGATCTGCAGCTAAAGGTTCGGCAGCTAAAGACGCGGCAGCAAAAGACGTGGCAGCTAACGGATCGGCAGGTCAAGACGCGGCTCGCGGCGCTGACGGTTCTAAGGGGGGAGAATCTGACGGCTCTCGAGGGATTTGTGAAGCGAGGATCTGAGGAATCCTCGAGCTCCTTGTGCACGCGGCCTCGATGCGGCCTGCTTGCGGCGGAGAGGCAAACCGCAATGTGGCTCGAACACACAAAGGCTTAACTCCCCAAACAGGGCAAAAATAATTGCCTCTAAACCTTCACAAAGGAAGTTATTTCTGCATTCATTGCTCAGCTCACTCAAAATCGCTGCGTGGGGGTTTTTAGCACCTGCAACGCGAATGAAAGGAATTGGAAAATGAACAATGGTGCGGATTAAAGATACGAGCCAGCCAATAACACGGCTTATTAATCAAAACAATGGGACTCGGTCCGGTATAAAGCAAGGCGGGATTAGGCTCATAAATACAGTGTGAATTTAAACAAACCAACACAGCGACTTATAATTCAAACAAAGGAACAGTTTGCTTTGCGAATCAAGACTCGTAAATACGGCGCGTGTGGTAAAATGGTTCATGAATCATTCCAATCCAAATAACTTCATACTTTGCCTCACGAGTGGATTGTGCGCTCATGAATGAACATGTGGGTCGCACAACAGCGGCCCAACACCAAAATGAGCGACACGTCCAGGCGGTTCACTATTGGCCTGCGTCAGTAACTATGGAGAACTATGGACCGTTTTCTTTTAAAGCTAATGTGAAAGTAGGAGGAATCGGCTGGATGTCTGTAGAAGAATGCGACCTCGGGGCAGATTATTCAGCCAATCGGCATTCAGCTTCTCATCTCATCACCGTCTAGTTTCCCCGCACACGGTATGTTTACTGATATGAAGAGACGTACATTGTATTTGCAGAATGAAAAGACCTGATGATAAATGTATTTTCATCATTTTCTCTCCCTGTAGCTCCGGGGTAGGGGGGGGGGGGGGGGGGGGGGGGGGGGTCACAGAGAGAATTCATAACCCAGTTGAGATTAACCGGCTGCAGTATTGATGAAGTTTGTGCTCGCTGAAGGTTAATAACGCGACTGCCTGGAGAATCACTTCACTTCGCACACGACGCTCTCGCTGCTCCCTGATGCATGTTTTATTTATGGAACATGATCACTGTTTCGTGGTCACAAAACCAGCGACTCAGCGCTTTAGTATCCAATAGTGGTGAGCGGCTTACGGCATTTAGCCGCTAGCAGCTTAGCACTTTAAAACAGAATATGTATTTTTCCTTTAATACGAGTAAGTAGGACTCTGGGTGACTGAGGATGGAGAGGCAGTGGGAGCACCTTCTACATCCAATACTGAAGATCAAACCTCAGGATTCAGCTGACAGCGGATTAGCCAAAGAAGAGAGGATCAACCGGATGCTGGTTGAGGTGTACGGGGGGGGAAGCATGTGTCAGATTGCCATCTTCCATATTGGACACCGTTTGGTGGCATTTAGTCAATAACGGCCGAGCCTGTTTGAAACACCGTCAATATCTTTGCCTGAAATGACGCCGTGCACACGAAACAAAACTCATAATGAAAAAACACAGAGAGTCAGAGCTCTATTAAAGCTGACACGTACCGATAATTGTTACTCGAATGAACATCGTTGTTATTCATAGAAAGCTGCTGCGCATCGATCACAAATACAGAAAAACAACAAAAGAAATCCCACAACGCAGCGGCGCTGAAAGGCGGCTTTGTGTGAGCGTGCGCGTGGAATGAGCGCTGCTGTTCACGGGCGTGTCTCGCCCCCTCACCGATGAACAGCTGGCTGTTGAGCTGCAGGTGGAGGTGTCCGTCGGCGGGGGCCCCCCGCCTGGCCGCAGGAAGCGCGTCCAGGCGGAGCGACGCCTCCCTGACGTTGCGCTCGGCCCGGACGCGATGCCACCGGTCGTCGTTCAGGGGGACGCTCGACTCCACGCGGACCTCCAGCGGGCCGTCGCCGACGTCCAGGGAGAACACCACCCGGGTGGAGGCTGGCGGAGGGAGGGGGGAGAGAGGAGACGGGTGAGGCAGGAGGTGGGGGAGTCGGAGGGAACGCACGAGCGTTTAACAGCGTTTTAGCTTGACGATGAGAACGAAACATCTGCTTCCATGTTTGATTTGCGGAGCAGCTTTAAACTAATAAGACAAACGTCAAATCATTCCTCGCTCTGCCAGAACAACAAAGAAATATATAATTCCCCACTTCTCTCTTTATTTATCCAGTTTCCAATCATTTGCATTCGATTTTTGGGTTCCGTCCGTAAAAATGAATTGCTGCAATCATCTAAAGTCTGGTTTGAGTTTTCTCTCAACCTGCAGTTATTACAGACGTGACCCGCGTTTTGCCTCCAAACATTTAGGGTTTGAGTGTTTTTTGAGAGGCAGCTGACAAATATTACACAACAATATCAGACCATCTGTCAAAACGTCCCTGTTTGGATCTTTGGGGCGAGACCAACAACACAGAGCTGAGAAATCCTCCCCGGCTGCACTTTTTGGGGGGAAATCAGGTTTTCTTGCTTCTGAAACAAACCGCTTCCCCTCATCTCTCTCTTGCTGCTCCTTTAAAGCCATGCGCTCGGATCCAAAAGTTCCCGACGTGTTTCGTTCCGACAAAAAAAAGGGAGTTGATTTCGGAGCCTGGAGGCGTCTCGGAGAGCATCACGCATTACGGAGCGAGAGGAAGGCGGCGGTGACTCGGTTTTGGAGGCGCGTCTCCGAGGAAGCCGACAGCGGAGCAGCAGTATTCAGAGCTGCAGCATCCGGCGATGATTTCCCCCGGGGGGGGGGGGGGGCGAAACAAAATCCCTGCATCCCGGTCTTTCTGCATCCCGGTCTGTCTGCATCCCGGTCTGTCTGCATCCCGGTCTGTCTGTCTGCATCCCGGTCTGTCTGCATCCCGGTCTGTCTGTCTGCATCCCGGTCTGTCTGCATCCCGGCCTGTCTGTCTGCATCCCGGTCTGTCTGCATCCCGGTCTGTCTGCATCCCGGCCTGTCTGTCTGCATCCCGGTCTGTGCCATCGTTAACAGCGCGGCACAAACACAAAAACTACACTGGCGATGTGGGAGGATTCAGAAGGCAACTATGACCCTCATTACTGCTTCGAAGCATCGAAAGGCAACATCTCTAAGTGACTCAACACTCTCCATCCATGTCAGCTATGGAGCTATGGAGATACGCTTTGTGAGGTGAAAGTGACGCCAGATTCTAATCAGCTCAGCCTCAGTCCAGGTGGACTTTTGGCCGTTGCTGATAGAGGCATAGAAACACATACAGAACGGCTGGAGCGAAGCAAAGAAGGAATTCTTTGTGTTTTTATTCTCAGATAATTAAACCATTTCTGAAGCAAAGAGCAAAGAATAAACGTCAGTTCATATTTGGTCTGATTTTGCAGCACTTAACTCCCACTAAAACACAAATTGAGTTGCTCACTTAAAAGACGTTAAAGTCGCTGCATCTCAAACGAATGCGTAAAAGTTTGGTTGTCTCTTAAAATGAACTTGAATTACTGCTTCTGGAATATATTAAATGTTCAAGAGAGACACACGCGTCAGGTTTTTAGGGGCTTCACTGCTACAGTTTGCAATGATATTTTTAGGGAAACGTAAATTCCACCGTTGTGTTTCCAGCCCCAGTGCACAAAGCCAGCTGCATTAAACGTGTTTCAAACCCAACTGCGCGTGGAAGGACTGATCTCCACAGGTCACGGGCCTCAACCCGGCGCAGCACCTTTGGGATGAAGTGGAACAACGGAGCAAAGCTCTGAATGGGTCAAATTCCTCGAGCCCAAAACCAAACATTTGTGAAAAGGCTTCTCCGGGCTGAAGTCAAATTCCGGTCAGGAAGGAGAAGACGGCTTCGTTCAACCTTGACAAACAAAATTTCCCCCGCAGGGTGTTTTGCTGCGGATTAAGTCTGCAACCTCGCGGCGCTACATGGATCCACATTAGACTCTGACTTGCAGGTTCGACTGACGCATCTGTCTAATCCGTATTAAATCTGCCCCCCCCTGCAGCTCCGACTCACAGCTCAGTTCGATCCGGATGAAGTCTTTGATGCCCAGGTTCTCCAGGAAGACCCCGGAGGAGGCCGTGGTTTTGAACAGGAAGGAGATGTCTGCGCTCAGCTCGCCGTGGAAGGTGGGGAAGTGGAGGTACGACGTCTCCTTGTCGAAGAACGCCGCGTTCCAGAAGTTCTCTGAGAAGCACCATGAAAAGACACCGGTGGAGATCTTTGGATGCAAATCGTGCAGCAAACAAGCGAGGCGTTAATGAGCTTACACAATGGCATGATTAATATTACAAGGTTCCTTTGAAATTTAATTTGAAATAATTATTTATTTATCTGCCCGGGGTACGAGGAGAAAAGCTGTAATTACTAATAATGGAAAAAAACAGCGTGCCGTGTTGTACCTTGTAATGCATTAATGAGGAGCAAGTTTCAGAGCGTCAGAACTAAAAAGGAAATCTGAATTAGCAACGGTTCCGTTAATGATAATTAGCTTCTAGGTGTTGCTGTGCTCTCACCCGGGAGAATTCTCACACCTGACACCGTATTTCCATAACAACAAATGGGCCTGAAAGGATTCTTTAGAAATAATGAGTCATTATCTGCCAAATATAAAAAAAAAAACTGGCTGATCGGCCGGATGTAAATTTAAGTTTGTTGCTTTGAGTCCTTCCACCAGTTCCAACAAAAAACAAACACACAGCAGAAATATTTCTGTCATCTCTCCATCATGCGTAACCAGGCAACCAGGAGCTGGACTTACTGTCTCCATAACAACGGAGCGGTCCCACTCTGTAGGCGGCCTCCGAACCCGCCCGCTGGATGTCACCCAGCACCAGAGACCGGACGGGGAGGCTCTCCTCGTGGGTGAGCAGGCCCGAGTCTTCAGCCCTGGAGGAGGAGGAGCGCAGGGAGAAAACAGAAGGGGGGGGGGGGAGAACAGAGAAGGATTAGGAATTAGGAATTAGGATTTGGAGAAGTTGAAGATGACAACGATGGGAGGAAAAGCTTGAAGAGCGGATGAAGAAGTAGAAAGACATAGAAGGGAAAAGCAAAGGCGGGAGGAGCGTCGATGAGGAGAAGGAAGAGGGGAGATGACGGGACAGAGGAGGTGATGGTGGGATGGAGGAGAAACAAGAAGAAGGACGAAAGTAAAGAGAACGAAGAAGAAGGGAGGGAGGACATGGGGGGAATAAGAAGAGGAGGACAAGGAGGAAATTAGGGGGCAAGGCGAGACTAAAAGGGGGAGATGGAAGAAGAGAAGGGGGAGGAGGTGGAGGTGACGGGGAAAGCAATGAAGAGGAAGTAGTTGTAGAACAAGAAAACGACCGGAAGAGGAAGGGGAATAAATCAAGATGAAAATGAAAGGGAAGTGCACGCGGAAGGGATACCAAGCAGAGGAGGAAGAAGAGAAGGGAGGGGATGAAGGAGACTGACGAGAAGCGATAAAACGTCTGGAGTAGAAAAGGAACCACTAAAATAAATGAATTAGAATCAGGGGAAGTGGACGGAACAGAGAAAAAGGCGATGAGATGATAAGGTACCAGCATGAATAGTCAAAGAAAAATGACAAAAGAACTTCCGCCCCGACATTCGACACTACATCCTTTTAGCTATTTTCCATCGCGGCGCCCCGGACGGACGGGTGAGTGAGGCGCGCCCGTCCATTTGCGCCCGTGTTCGGCTCCGTGGTTCTCTGATGAGCCGCGTGTCCGTGTCTCGCCGTCACGAGAGACGCTTTCTCCGGGACAGGAAGCGGGCGGAGCGGCTTCCCTCCGGGGATCATCGGATGAATGGTCGGTAGTTTGACAGTTCCGAGAGGTACGATTTAAGGAGACGAGACGATCACATCAACACGCACGTCAAATCTCTGCTCGGTTGGCTGAAAGCTTTTCACCGGATTGAGTGCCGAGAGAGAAAAGAAGCCATCTATTCAACCAAATTGAGATATATATGTACAGCGTAATACTAAACGTGTGCTTATTAAGTGAGTACCAGTCCGTGCGGTCGGCGTCACAGTTGCAGTAGTGCTGTGGGTCCACGCAGTCGCCCCGCAGGCCGCACGCACACTGCCGGCTGCCCGGCTGAGCGCCGCCCCAGTAGGTCTGGACCCGACCGGGACCGGGACCCCCGAGCCACCAGCTGAACGGAGAGCCCTCTGAAACACACACACACACACACACACACACACACACACACACACACAGCTTTACTTTCTACGATCATTTCCAACAACAACACTGACGGGTGTCTTTTTGCAAACGTAGATTCAGCAACACATTTCAGCATGAAGAATGAAGCTTCTTCTCTTGTGTCTTAGCTCTTTGTTATTCTATTTTTTTTTATTATATATATATATATATTTTTTGTGTACAAATAGTAAAAAAAAATCCCTTTTATACAAAAAATAAATAAGAAAATAAATAAATAAGCTTGAAGAAAGGCCTCATCAATTGTATCTTCCTGTTCTTTCTCTTTAAGTCATGAACGCAACCTATTTCACGTCCACTAATGAACAAAAACAGATACTCATCCAAGAGATGCTTTTTTTTGGGACTATTAGTGGAGAAACGCCACCACACAAAAGATGCTTGCAGGACGCAAAAGTTCCACAGATGCAGAAAGCTGCATTATGTCGGCGGAGGAACGGCGCAGAGAGGAAACAGCTGAGCGCTGTATGGACAGAGGCCCCCCCCTCCCCCATCCCTCTGCACCATGAATCCGGGGTTTGTTCGCCAGCTGAATATATTGTTTCATGGTGATGATAGTGTGCAGTGAAGAAATGTACTTCTCATCTCTTGGGTGCGCGGGTGGAGACGAGTGAGAGAAGGTGATTGGAAATGTCTCCGTTGAGTCAGCAAGTCTTTATTTTCCCAGAGAGCAGCGGGTGGGGTGGTGGTGGAGGGGGGGGATGGAACCTCCATCTCTCCACCCATTCTGCGCTTCCCACCACTTTTACTACTTTTGCAATGCACAAGCGGCTCCTGCAGCAGGTCCCACAATGGAGACAACATGATGGGAGGCAGAGAAAGAGAAGCATAGCGTCCCCGATGCATCCCGCTGCGTTTCTTTACGCTTAGCGACGCGTCTCTCGTGTTGTGGACGTGGCGTTAAAAGCGTTAGCAGTCGCACAAACAGGGAGAAATCGGATGGAACGTGGGGATCGAAGGGATTCGCCCCGGTTCTCTGGTCAATCTGAGCACCGGGGCGAACACGGGGCGAAGCAAAGAACACACGGGTCACGCTCAATACTCATTGCTCAAAAGCAGAGGGTGTTAAGCAAATCCCGAATAATCAATTTGTCTGAATCATTAGTGAGAGAGAAGAAAATCCCTGTAACCAAGTTTGCAGCAACGAGCGTAATGATCCTGTTCGGGTCGGGGGGCTGAAGGGGGGTTCCCAGCTGAAGAGAGTCGGCTTAACAAAGCTTTTACTTGTTTTTATTTAACCAAACCAGACAAATTAAGAACACGCGCTTGTTTACAGTCTTTTTGGATTTCCATGCGCACTTGAGGGGTGTCGGGGGAACGGGGAGGAGCCACAGCCCCCGAGGGCTCTCCCCGAAATAAGATTAAAGGATTAAAAGATTAGATACGATTTTTTTTTATAAGTGAGATCTACTTTCTAAGTATAATCACAAACTCAACATTTTACACAACTTTTGGCTCCAGTAGAGTTCAAGTAAGAAGAAGCAATAACATAATGTCTAGATACTAATAAAACAGCATTGAATGCATAACTGTAGCAGCTGGATGGTTTAGTTCATCACACATGTGAGAAAATCTGCAAAACTAAAATGAACGTGTTTCATCAACGTGTTTAATCTCCCGGCTGGCGCCTCACCTGGGGTGTTGAGGAGGCGGGACTTCCTGCAGCGGTAGGACAGCTCCTGTTCGCAGTGCTCCGATTGGCTGATGGCAGCCAGTAGCTGCTCCTCTTCGGCGGAGTAGTCAAAGTGAACCGAGTGCTGGTCGACTCCTGCAGACGGCCGGACTCCGGTCAGCTCCGTGTTGTTGTGCCGGATCTCCATCCACGTGTTCTCCTCTGGGGAGGGCGGGGGGCGGGGAATTAGCTTAGCTTAGCATAAATACTGGAAGCAAAGAGTCTGATAGGCCGAAAGTACATTTGCACATTGCTTATTATGTATTTTTTAAACTGTATTTTTTTAGAGGAAACTGTATTTTACCTCCTGGTAAATCAGACGTGAAATATTTTCCAATTTGGTTGAATGATGCTTCAAAACGCATTGATCAGAACTGTGATTAATGGTCAGTTGGAAGCAATGGAATCTCAAAACCAGACTTATACATTCATGAATCTTCATCTACGTTAAGTTAACTTCTTAATAAATGATTAAACTATCTGCTTTGTTGTGACGTATTTTTCTGGTCTGGTGATTTTCTTTCTCTGTCTAATATCAGGAAAGTAATGAGGATAAACTTTTAAATTAATGAGAAAAATAAACAATAAAAGAAAAAAAATAGCATCATCTCTATGGAGATTAAAATACATACATACATTTTATAGCGCTGAGGGACTGTAATTGATATTCATATAATTTAACATGACATTACATAAGAAAAAAAGAATAAAAATGGAGAGTACAAGATAAAGCAGATCAGACTGTGAAGAAAAGAGCATCATCATTACTTCCTTTCAACTTATGTAAATGTTAATCATAAAAATCGTTGTGTGGTGATACGAGGGTGTGTGTGTGTGTGTGTTTGTGTGTGTGTGTCACCTGTCATGTTGCAGTAGACCAGCTGCGGTCTGATTGGTCCGCTGCCGTCCACGTCGATATAAAAGTGTCCCGACGTGTTGCCGTTGTGTTTGTACGCCTCACAGGACTGTTCGTACACAGCTGGGAGGGAAATAATGAGATCAGCTCAACATGAATCACGTCGGCTGGCACACGCACACAGGAGCTGTGAGCGACTACACACTGAGGAGGATCGTGTGTTCTGGATCACTGTCTCATAACCAGAGCAGGAAAATCATCCTCCGTTTGATTCCTGCAGCCACGTCCCGTAAAGTAGAGAGGAATCCATCTGGAGAGGACGGTGATGACTGATGGGAGCGCAGAGACTCAATAAATAAAACTTTAGAGCTTTATCAGCCCTGCCTCTCCCACGCACACACACACACACACACACACACGCAGCGGCTTCCTCCAAAATCAAAGAATCAGGCCATTCCAGTCGAATCCATATCTCGAGGTCCCCACACTCTGCTCCCATGTGCATCTATCTTCTTCCCCACAGCCAAAGGCCTTTTCTTCCCTCGGTGAGGTTAGAAAAAGATTCCCACAGAAAAACCCGGCGATGAAAATGAAGCCAGGGGAGAACCGTGAAGAGAAACTGTTACCCTCCCCTCACCGCTGGGGTTTGATTTATTTATGTCGTATTTGGCAGTTTAGTCACAGCTACAGTGTCATCGACGTTCATCGTATATCTCCCATGCAAACATGTTGCACGACCCTATAACCACTGGGGAGAAAACACGTGCAGTTATCTGATCTGAGCCCAGGCGAGGCCTTACCACAACTTTAATCATCTCATCAGAGCGCAGGCGACGTGATTAAATACATTTGAATCAAAGGGTAAACAAGTTGACATTTTAGATATCAGGCAATTCCCACGAGTGTTGTGGTAAACAGTGGGAGTTTTATACGTCCTTCATTCAATCAAAGGTTGTTGACTATCCTCAGTTGGTTTGTAATGAACCTTTTCTGTTTGTTTTCACTGCATTATAGATGAGGCGGTGGCCTTTTAATGTTCGCCAAACAAACAAACGTTTATGATCTTTGTTTACTGCGTTAATGGGGTTTAATAGGTTGGTAACACGGTAAATTTAATCTAACTCTATTTCTCTGTTCTGCCTCCGAGATTAAATTATGCAGGAGGCTTGAAAACCTTCATTATTCTGTTTCACTTCCCCGCCTGCAGGCGGGTTGTTGAAGACGTTTGACTCACAGCTGTGGCAGGTCGCTCCGCTGTAGCCGCTGGCCGAGCAGTTACAGCGGAAGGCGGTCCAGGACTGAGTGCAGCGGCCGCCATGTTCACAGCGACTGGGCGAGCACCTGGAAGAGAGAGAGAGAGAGAGAGAGAGAGAGAGAGAGAGAGAGAGAGAGAGAGAGGTTTGGTTGGATCTATTTGATTGTTACGGTAACTTACCAGTAGGATGTGACTTTTTCTTCAAAACATTTCTTAACCTAATATTTAAAAATAACATATTTTTTTTACTTAATTTTAACTTTTTTTTGTTACTTTTTTCAACCAAACATATTTCGACTCTTTAAATGAAAACATTTTTCGAACGAACATATTTTGACTTTTTTTAAATTACGATGACATTTTTTGGACTTTTTATTTCCATGACATTTTTTCATTCACTTTTTTTTTCAGTCACTTCGCTCAACTAGTTTTGACCTAGCATTTTTTGACTTTTTTGTCCATCATTTTTTTAAACAACTTTCTTTGCAAAACATTTTTCGACCTTAATTTATTTTTTTTTAAATTCAAAATATTTCTAGACTCATTCGAATTGAACGTATCATCCTGAACATCTGTTGCCCAGAGCACCATGTGTCTCAGTTCGAGAGACAATTAAGTTTTCCCAACAGAATCCCTGGTGCTGAAAATGAAACCTAATTTCGTGGAGTCTGAGTGGCATTGTGGGTAATATATATATATATATATAAATATATATATATATATATGCGGGAGGGTTTTTTCGACATGGAAGAACAATGCAGCCTTTTAAGGTATATGAAGTAGCCGCTGCCTCACTGCGGTTATAATCAGCAATCAGAAGTGAAAGTGCTCTCTACACATAATCTCCCACTACGTCATTTCCGCTTCATCTTTATAAAAAGTGTGATGATTGCTTTCAAACTCCACTCCTGCTAACTAACTGCCTCATTAAATTAAATGAGCCTCTTTCCATTTCTGGCGGGGAAAAACCTTTCAGCCCGAGCTCCTCGAGGTTATTTAGGAAAAGAACATCTTACATTTTTAATATTGGTTCATGTATTTATATTTTGGCAGGTTGTTAAAAAAAGAGAACTTCATTATGTTGAATGAAAAGATGTCTCCTGCAGAAAATTCCAAATGAAAAACCTTTCACCGTTCCACAGTGAGATCAAAAGATGAATTTCATAACTTTCTGGCTTTAGATGTTTCCGCTGAAAGGAAAATATTCTTCTGCTTCTCTTCAGCAGCAGATGTGAAGCGTTTGCAGAAGCTCTATGAACTCTCAGGGAAGCTCTGTGTGCTATTTATAGATGAATATCAAACATCACGACATCAGTTTATCTGAACCGTATAGCACCGGTGTAGAAGGTTGGTCTCCGTCCTCCGTCTTTACCTTCCTATATCCGTGTTCCAGAGCGTGTTTACGTCACATGTTTTCGCGGGGTGGAATATTGAAGAGAAAACCGATGACTGTGCAGAATATGCAGCCCTTTTTATTTAGATTAAAATGCTGAGTCATTAGCCTGTCTGGCTGCTTCAGTAGGACTTTTTAATCTAAGACTTTAACTAAGAGTAACCTGCAGATAAAGCATTTCGCTTTAAATTCGCATTTGATGTATTTCGTGTTTGTGTGCGTGCAGCGGTGCTCCAGGGCGGACCTACACTAAGTCATCCGTATTACCGAATTATGCGATAGCATTTAATATCCAACCCTTTGGCACGTTAGTCTCAATAAGAATAACCTTTGGAGCCTTTTAGTTCTTAAGAATTCTATACTTCACATCTCCAGCTTCATCAGGCAGAACCAGGATGGCCGAGTGGTTACGGCGTTGGACTTAAGACCCAATGGGCAGATGTCCTCGTGGGTTCGAACACCACTCCTGGTATTATGCTTCTGAATGAAGTCAGTTATGTGATAAATTGCAGCACTATGTAGGAAACAAGTCCTTTATATCACAAACATGCAAGAGGATCTAGCATCTGCAGACTCAAGAAACATGTTGATATTTAAATGTGTGAATCTACATCTGTTTGACAGGGACATCAAGTACTTGATCCGTTCCTCAGATTGCATCACAAAGAACCAGGATGGCCGAGTGGTTAAGGCGTTGGACTTAAGACCCAATGGGCAGATGCCCTCGTGGGTTCGAACCCCACTCCTGGTATTAAGTTTCTGCTAAATGCATGTATCGACTGCACTGTTGATTAATATATTGATTTTAACTAGTACTGACAAGTACTCTGATATCTAAAATCAACAGTACTGTTATATTACATAATTGATTTAAACTAGTACTAGTGATTAAGGCGTTGGACTTAAAACCTAATGGTCTAATGCCCTCTGTATTTCGAACCCCGCTCCTGGTATTGTATCAAGTTGTCTCTGCCATATATGACAATTACGCTGTCAGGTACAAATATAAGTGATAGAATGTGGCACCGTATAGGAGCTCACCAAACACTTCCTTATAACACCACAACAAAGGACAGATCTTTTGACGGACTTGAGAGAAGTTGATTTTTTGAGTGTCCAATAAAAGGAATTAGAGGTGAGAGTACCGTTGCTCTGGTCAGTACTAGTTCAAATCAATATATTAATCAACAGTGCAGTCGATACATGCATTTAGCAGAAACATAATACCAGGAGTGGGGTTCGAACCCACGAGGGCATCTGCCCATTGGGTCTTAAGTCCAACGCCTTAACCACTCGGCCATCCTGGTTCCCTGTGATGCAATCTGAGGAATGGATCAACCACTTGATGTCCCTGTAGATTCAAACATTTAAATACCAACAGGTTTCTTGAGTCTGCAGATACTAGATCCTCTTGCTTGGGATGTGAGGGACTTGTCTCCTACATAGTGCTGCAATTCATCACATATCTGCTTGCATTGACCAAAAATTGTAATTGTATTAGAACACCAGGAGCGGGATTCAAACCCACAAGGGCCCATTGGGTCTTACGTCCAACGCCTCAACCGCTCGGCCATCCTGCTTCTCTGTGATGAAACTGGAGATGTGAAGTATAGAATTCTTAAGAACTAAAAGGCTCAAACGAGTTACTTTCATTGAGACTTTGTACTAACGCGCCAAAGGGATGGATATTAAATGCAATCACATAATTCGGAAATACGGATGCCAATGCAAATTTAAAGCGTCATCTGCAAGGCACTCTTAGATTAAAGCAGTGTAGAGATAATCTGAATACCAGGAGTGGGGTTCGAACCCACGAGGGCATCTGCCCATTGGGTCTTAAGTCCAACGCCTTAACCACTCGGCCATCCTGGTGCTGCTGTTCAGCTATAAAAGACATGAATGACGTGATCGTCTAGGCTCTGATAAAGTTACGCGCATTCACAAAGACAGAACAGAGAATGTAGAAGTTGAAGTATTTATGTGGGATTAAAAAAGTCTCTAAAGTGAGTAAATTGTGTTTTTTTTGTTTCATCGTGTCACTCAAATAAATAATTTCCATGGCAATAAAAAAAGGAAGTAAAAAAACAATGAATTGAATTTAAAACGAATGCTCATATTCAAAAGAAAAAAGAAAATTTGGTGCTGAAAACCGCATGGAATTAACTTCATAATTCTTTCACCATTTAAAGTAAATAGGTAAAATAACCAAGAAGGAGCGATGGACGCGTTGTGCTTTGTGATGACCTTAATTAGCTTTTAAACAGAAAAGAAAAGATGAAGGCAATTCTCGGGTTTCGGCTTAGAAATAATTTCAATTGAGTCAGCAGTTTCAATAAATGTCATCACTAAGATGGCGGAGTGGATGTAATGCATCCAACTCCTGCTGTGTTTAGTATTCAATGTCAAAACTTTTTTCTATCACTTACTTTTAAACAAAGATCATAAAAGTTCAGCGCGGGTAAAACGACCCCCGGGAAGGCGGCGTTCTCACCTGTCGATGATGCCGCACATGTCGATCTGCAGGTGGCTGTAATTTCCCAGCAGTCTTTGCTGCACCTTGATCAGGTCCACCGGCTGGTCCTCCAGTCTGAGGAGACGCATGCAGCCCTGAAAGACGCCGAAGGGATTCTTACAGTCCTGAGTGTCTTCTGCAGCAGGACAACCTGGACGGGAAAGCAAAGAAAAAACACGAGAGGACAGAGACAGAATGAAGACAAATCAGAGCTGAAGTGGAAGACATCCCACTGGGAGTTTAGACTAAAAACACTCGCATCTGCTGGTCGTTGCTCAGAGTGTACAATGTTCTACTGGAGTTAAGACACACAATGAGTATATCGTTATTTCATTACTTAGTAGTCCTTTTAGAGTAGAAACAGAGTTTGTGTGAGTGTGTGTGTGTGAGAGACGATATTAAGCTCGAGGCGGTTTGAAAACAAGCCTGGATTGTTACACCTCTGAGCAAAGAGCGGCCGGAAGAGATGAGATTTAAGAAAAGGAGGCTGCGAGGAAGTCAGCGGAGAAAGCAGGAGGAGCAGAGGGAAAGGAAAGTGACTGGAGGGAAGGAAGCGAGGAGAGAAACAGGGAGGGAGAAGAGCAGAGAGACGAGGAGAGATGATGAGCGGCGAAAAGAGGGAGGAGAAGATGAAGCAAACCTTATGACTCATTATAAAACCGCCTGCAGCTGAATCTGTCTCAGGCAAAACACAACGGCGGAGGTGAGACAGCCGCTCCGAACAGTGTGGAGAGATGGAAAAGTTAACAGTCGGTTTGGAGGATTGACCGCTGCAACAATGGTTTTAATTATAAGAGTGTAGTCAGAAAAGGTAGCAGCTTCTAAAATATAGAAATGCACAATTTGAACAAAAGGTACTAAAAAGGTAACGGGAATAATAATATAAATGTTGGCTGGGTTGCATTGAGTCTGGGTCTTGACATGAAAAATAAAAAGAGAAGCAGTAAATACTGCAACATGTTGTTGAACTCATGGCAGAACCTTCTTTGAATACTAATGTTCGCTCCACACGCGCAGTGTTTTCGATACGTAATGAACACTAATTCGAATCATGTCCAGTATAATAATGATGTAAAAGGGCGAACTGCCCCTCTACAGGCATCATTTGTGTCACGTCGTTACCACCGAAGAAGAGTTGACTTCCTGCGGCAACGGGGTGGCCGGCGTTAGCGACGCCCCTTTCCTCGGTATCCACGGCGATGGTCAGACGACCCCGTCCGGAGGTCAGCTCCACTGAATGCCACAGGCCGTCGTTGAGGGCGGAGCCTGGGCCGACGTTTAATGATGACCAGGAAATGTTTAGGAAGTTTGCAAAAAATGTTTTGAGGTAAATTCAATTGGATACAAGTGGTGATACATCTCCGACCTGCACTGAGCTCCAGCAGCGCCCCGCCGGCTTTATGGATCTGCAGCCGCAGTCTGGCCTCGCTCAGGTACAGCCAGGCCACGCCCCCTTCCTCGGGAAGGTCAAAGGTCAGCAGAAGCCCCGCATCGTTCCACGTCCTGAACTGCAGCCCGACGGACACGCCCTCCGACAAGGACGGTGCCGCCCCCGGCAACCGGAGGAAGCTCCGGGGGCCCGGGAACGTCACGGCGACGGAAACCGACTCAGCGCAGGAAAAGGTCACGTTGCCCTGAGAGAGAAACGTGGAGGGAAAGAGAGAGAGAGATGATTACAAGAGAGATTAAACAACATTAAACATGAATAATTAATCAGCTGCAGAGGGCGGGCCGATGTGACCTCCGGTCACTTGATCTCATCAGCGAGTCTCCTTGAGAATAGAAGGCGTGAAGGTCCCCCCGAGAGGGGTGCGTGGAGGTGGGCGTGAGTGTGAACGTGCTCTGTGGACCCATTGATTTGAGTGGCGGTCCGTTGCAAAGGCTGCAGCGGCTCTGTAGTAGAGTCCCAGCGGCCTGCGACCTCCACAAGGCTTCCAGAAACACAGACGGCGTCCTCGAGCCCCGTGTGGAGCAGTTAAAGCGGCGCATGGACGTAGGTGGTGGAGGATGCCGCACCACCGCAAAATGTATTAGTAAAAAGTGAGCAGTAAAATCCCCCAAAATCCATTCACAAACACACTGTGGACCCCAAAATCCCCTCAGTCACTCAAACACACATTTACCATATAAAGTCCTACTTGATTTAGTCCTCATACCTTTGGAAATGGCCAGAAGGGGTCCTCTATATTAAAAACGACTAAAACTAGTAGAGCCCTATTACATCTCCAGCCATGTGAATCTCTGAGACTTTCTTTCTTAATCCCTCGTCCCGCGCTGTAACCGCACACCTTTTATTAGAAACGCTTGGGCTCTGCTCTCCGCTTACTGTCTTTGTAGCACCTGATGGTCCTAATGACAAAGACAAGGGAGCTAAACTGAAAGTCCACCCGTCACTCAGGGTGCTCCTGACCTGCACGCCGCCAAGCGAGACCTCATCCACGGAGCACGTGAGGGATCGGCTCCTCGCCTCCCTTCTGGTGACCATAAGCCACGAAACCTCGCAGTCTTTCATCAGCTCGGCGAACATCAACAGCGTCTCGCTTTCCCCGGATGATCAACGAGATCTGTCCTCATCGCACGGGAGGGAGGAATAAAAACGATGCTCTGCCTCAGAGGAGTCGCAGGCCGGTTTCCCCCCCGTGGATCTTCTACGAGGTGGATGGAGGTCTGATCTGTTGCTGTTAAGCATCTGATGATGAGGTGTGGATTTTGTTTCAGTTCAAATGGGAAGACTTGATGATAAAACGCTCTCACCACAACGGTAACTCGGCGGTCTTTGCTTTTGAATAACTCCACCAGGTCGAGGCCGTTGTACACGAGGTTCTCCAGGCAGCCGTCAAAGTTCCTCTCGGAGACGAGGCCCCGGGCCGCCGCGACGCTTAGCTGCACGGGGGGGGGGGCGAGAGAAGCTCGCTGTGAAAATGCGCGCGCATGTCATACCAGCTGGTGTCAGAGCGCCGGCCTGCCCCCCACCTGCTCCGCCTCCCAGCCGGGGAACTCCGCGGGGAGCCGGAGGCGCTCCGCGGCGTGTTCGTCCACCGTGACGTTGAGCTGAGAGCCGCGCCGCTCCACCGCCAAACGGTGCCACTGCTGATCGTCCAGCAGGCTGCCGAGGGAGGCGACGCGCCGGGGCTCCGAGGAGGGAGGACCTGGAGGAGACGAGGAGGAAGGAAGGAGGGAAGGAAGAGAAGAGATGGCGAGGATGAGGACGGGCAAGGAAAAAGGGAGGGACATTAATTGACAGGAGGTTAAAAAGAGGAGGTGCGGGTACGGAGAGGGTGGAGGTGAGGTGGAGGGGAGAGGATGCAGATGATGAGATGACAGGAAGGGAGGCGGGGGAGAATGAAGCGGACGGAGAAGATTAATCACATACTGGCTTTTAATCAACTTTCAAAAGCGCTAAAAATACTTTGGGATTTGTTTTATAGTTATTTGAGTCTGTTGTTCTAACCCATATTCCTTTATTAATCCTGCCTTTTTCTCCTCTTCCTATCTTGAGTCATCCGACCCGTTTGTTTGTGTGTGTTGTTTGTTTGTTGTCCTCTCATCTGACCCCCGCGTCGAGCATCGTGTCTAAATACGTCTCTCTCTCTGTGAATCCCGCGGCGAGCATCCCGGCGAGGTCGCCCTCTCTCTCCTCTCGTTAGGGACGGCGTGCTCCGCCTACGCGCTCGGAGAACGCCGGGAGGGAAGAGGGAACCCGGCGGGACGCCATTAATGATTGATGATCGGTCCCTATTCGAACAAGTGGAGGAGAAACTTTTTGTGTTTTCTGCAGAGAGAAAGAGGCAAACAGTCAGCTATTAAAAATGTATTAGACATTCTTCGGGGAGAGAGACGACTCCGACTTCAAAGGAGACAGTTTGAAGATGACGGACGAACGTATTTTCTGATAATGCAGCAGCATTTTGTCAGAGGGTTTATTCGTCTGCAGCTCGGATGAGAAGAAACAACTTCATCCAAAGTGCCGGGGACTTTTATTGTGACGGGTTGAGACGCACAAACGAATCAGATGTATCAAATCGGACTGATTGATGGAACAATTAGGATGTTGAGGAGCAGGATCTTGTAGCAGAGGGCTTTACGGGACGGGTGATTCGATTACTGCGCGAATGACTGGAAGGAGAAAGCAGGAATCAATGATCAGGGATCAGAGGCCAAACAACTAGAACACCGCTCTGCTGATACTCGCACAGTCGGGCTTTTTGGCAGCTGAGAGCGCCTGTCAGTCCTCCCCGTCACCACCGACCTTTGTTACAGTAGATACTTTTGCCTCCATGACTCAGGTATTTAAATTCTGCACCGCGTAGCAGAAAAGGGGCAGAAAGAAAAAGCAAAGCTACGCGGGGGCTGATGAAGCGGTCCTTATCCCGCACGTTTGGGAGCCATGTTTTTATGTACAATCTACTAAAGGTCACTTTGCTTTCTATTTATTTCTGCCTCCTCTCACAAAATGCAAATTCGCTTTCATGCTTTCTTTTCCAATCCCCCCCGTCCACTTACTTTTACAACGTCTCACTCTTTGGATCCATTCTGTCACATTTGGGGGTGTGAGAGGACGACACTTGCAGTGTTGTTATTGTCATCCTTTTTAATTGTAATATATAACCACTTTGCTCGACGTGTCAGTTGAATCTCTTCTCTAACGAGCTGTTACAGTCGCCCGTGTTGGTAAAATGTCAATTATTCGTGAAGGCGTGTGACGCAGGCGACAGCTGCACCGTAGATTTGATGATGCTGTCAAATTATTTAGTGATACAATTGACCGAGTCACAATGCCGGGCTGCATCTCCAAATGAGCCCTCTTATTGTTGCCTCTCGCCTCTGCAGCTCTGTGGCTGATCCCTCTCCCAAAAGCTGTGCTTCCCCCCGTGAGGTATTAGCTTCGTTCGGACCACTGATACACTGATTCAGTGGATGGACCCGCCAGCGGCAGCGCAAACTGTATCGGCGCTGCTTCACACAAAGGATAAAGCCTATAAAGTAGCTCCGCCGCTTATTACCTCATCATTCTCCACTCGTCCTCGAGACGGAATCACCTCGTCTGCTGTTCTGTTACTGACGCTCAAAACCCGATTACGGAGAGAGACACTGACGGCTCTTATCGGAAAACAGGCCGGCTCCGTCCTTTCTGCAATCGACTCTCGTAAGGCGCGACACCTGTCACATACTCATAAGCTCTGACTGCAGAGTCAATGCGTCACTGGACAAACTGCTGAAACAAGATCACGAACGAGATTATAAGTGCAGCAGTTAAAGCGATCATGCAGAATTATTATCTGCTTTCTACTAACTAAATTGCACTTTTATAGCATGTGGGGATTTGATACGGAGCTGTAACTTAAGACAATTGTAATCAAAGGCCGTCATTTTAGTAATAAAGACACATGTTGTGACCTGAGCAGAGGTTCTCTGTTACCTTTTGATAATTTAAGCAAATCTACACACAGACTTTTCCACTTCGAGCATCGATACAAAGCTTCAGCTGCACTAAACCAAACCCAGGATCTTTTACACAACCTAACCCAAGTTGGGTTTTTGGTAATTGAAATTGGAGCGAAAGAGGTGAGGGGGGAAATAAAGTTGGGGGGAAATGACATAAACTTGTTGGACACAGAACAGAAAAAGGCTTAGTTGACACGCTGGGAAAATCGGCACATTGAAAACCATGGAGACACAAGACAATGAAGACAATGAAGGAAGAGGACACCGGAGAGGACGGTTGAAGGGGGAAATCAAACGGTCTCTTCAGGTGTGGAACAGAATACGAGATCTATGGAGACAAACCGATATCAACAAGAGGAATGCCGATGTCGACAGATGGCACAGGAGCAGAGTGTCACGTGCCGAGGAACTGAGCGGGACCGATGCAGGAGATCAAGAACAAAGGCGGCCGGTTGTTTGCTGTGATGGTCTGAGCTCCTCTCTCCGTTTCTCTGCAGTCATTCTAACGGATGCCTCTGATATTCTCTCGCTGGGCTGCTTTTCAATGTCACATTAGAGTTCTTACGGTGGAGCTACTGTACAAAAAGGTGCCACAGAGTTTAGGTTTAAGGGGAAGCCGCCTTCAGATGAAGCCAATGCAAACGATCCTTAAACCTTGCATTCTCTCTCCGGACCAGCAGGGGGGCGACTCCACCCGCCAGTTTCAAGTCTTCTTCAACAGTCTTCTATAGGGCGGGGCTTAGTGTGATTGACAGGTGTCTATGTCCCTCCTCCGCATTCCAAATGTGGTCACTTTTCCTTCATTAACACGGTGACGGCTGCGAGAGGGGAATCGCCAGACTGAAGAGCGCCGACTGATCTGCGCCGTTACCATGACTACGTCCTCGCCGTATCACGGGACCAATCACAGGTTTGTTGAGCGTTACAGGGACGAGGAGGAGGCAGATGGACATGGGAGGGACACGGATGAGCGTTCGGGTGGACAAGTGAGGGAAGAATGGATGGAGGACGATGTTTAGAAAGTGAAAGAACGGAGATGGATGGACGGATAAAGTTTTTAAAGTATTTTAGCAGCCAGATGGGCTTTCTGATGAGAGGTGAGCCATATGGTGATGATTCAGCATGGCAACCTCTGGTTTAACCCCGTTTACACACACACACCTCCCCATGTAATGACTGTAAGCCATGCATCACCCCCTCCAGGCGCCGGCCCGAACACACGCCGCAGTGAACGGTGCCATCCATCATGTCTGCAACGAGACTGAGATACAACTGCAGCAGCAGAACTGGGCCAAGATTTAAACCAATCAGGCGGCGGCGTGCGTATCCGCCATCCCACCCAACCGCAACCAATCTGAAAGTTATCTCACGGGGCTTTCTATTGTCCTCATAGAACAAAATGTCTCCTTGCTGATCAAACCACATTACAAAGAGGCGGCAGCTTACTAGAACACGATTGGGAGATTCCAGTTCTTTATATAACTGTCTTTATTTCTCAATGGCTGCAAAAACATTAAAATTGGGCACATTTATTTCTTGATTATGCATTTTGATGAAAAATGGATGCAAAAGCTTTTAAGTCTTCAACAGGCACCAATAATTCAAATTTGAATGCTTTTAAATCTAGTAATTTAATGCACAAATGTTTCTCTTGTTGCAAATTGGGTATATTTGAAGAGCCTTCGTCCCATTGCATAAACCGTTTGGTGAGATGAGACACGAGCACGTGGCGCTCCGTACCTCGTGTGAGCAGCAGCAGCTTCCCTCTCTCCAGCTCCAGGCTGAGGCCGAGTCCTCCCTCCCCCTCCGCCTGCAGCAGCGTCCCAGAGCTCCTCGCGGTTTTAAACTCCAGGGAAACGACCTCTCCGGACGAGCGCCGCGGCCCGGGACTCAGCCGGTACGCCAGACCGCCGCCCCTCAAGCTCAAGACGTCAGAGGCTGAAAGACGGAGACGGTGAAAGAACAGAGGAGCTGTGACAATTGTAGAGGAACAATGAGCATAATTCCCGTCGCCAGGCAACTGCGTTTTTTTATTTGTTTTATTTTAACACAGCGCTTTCGTTGCGGAGGGACGTACTGCCAATCAGACGTCCACATCAGATGATAAAGTGTCAGAGTGATAATGATGCTCGTGGAGATGCTCCTACTGGTCCTGTGCATCTTCTGCAGGGCAGCGAGGTGAAGCTGCAGAGCAAAGCGAGCTGAAGCTCGGGTCACCTACTCTTCATCTTACGATAAGCAGTCTGCAGAACATTAGTCAGGTGAGTCTTTAGCGGCTCACAGGACATTAACCTCTCAGTTTCTATTTAATTCTGTGTTTTTATTCACAGTCTCTGGAAACAAGCTGCACACAACAGTGATGCTCACCTTTAATCACCTTTTAAATATTAGGTGGTAAATAGCTGTTTACGCATCAGGCAGATGTAGCTCGTATTCTTTCTGCAGAAAGCGGTGAACCAACGAGCTTACAAACTTAGAAGTGTCTGAACCTCGGTTTCCCCAGAAGGAACGTGGGCTGAAGTATTTCATAAGGGTTGGAAAAAAAAAAAACTATTGTATTCTCTTGCAAAATGTCTACAGTGCATTGCGGTTCATTTGCAGCAACGACCATAACACTTTGTAACCTTGTGAAAAAGCTTTGACTCTTTGCATGTCTGGAAAAGTACAGAGTGCAACAACAGTTTATTAAAATAGTTCTCCACAACCTTTACTTGTGCTTCATCCCGTTTTTTACCACCTTTGAGTCAGTTTTAATCATTGCGTGATCCTCTGAGACACTCTATGAAAGCTTTGGTTGCCGTGGCCTATAAATAACAGACCAAAACCCACAAAACAGCTGTATCGCAGCTGTGCCATCAGCACATTGCATTTGTTTTTCCAAGGAGGATTGTGCTGTGCACGGCACATTAGCTCACCACCAGGAAAGGCACGAGTCTCCTCCGCCAACCGTCACGCCGACTGACAAACATATTACAATAATATATCAGCTGTATCCAAACCACTGCAAGCTATTTATCAAAATCCTTCTCTTTTAATGTGTCCCATTATCCATCTTCTTCCAGAGGGGACACGGTTTCGTCATAAATCATCTTTCCACTTGGTGAACTGATATAATGAAATAGTACTGGGAGGGTTATGTTGCTTTGGTGCACCTGCATCTGGGCCTCTAAATACGTAAATCAGTATTTAGAGGCCACATCGGTGCAAGGTCAACTAACGGGATGCAAGCGACTGGACGTGAAACCCGAAATATTAAACTGGAGGCAAAAAACCTGTGAAATCTCGATGTCATCTTATATTATTTTCTTGATAATTGTAATTTACCGTGGATTTAATTGCGTTACAGCGATGACGTTGACACTTTGTCTCATACTTTACTATACTTTACGGCTTATGACGAAATACCTGCAAAACTAATGCGCTAACAATTAGCTTCAGCTATGTGTTAAGTGCAAATGTAGCATAGCGAGTATGCTAGCATATTAGCATGCAGGCTACAGCTATAGAAGAGGAGTAGAACAGACATTGACGTGTTTTTCAAAGGGATTTATCAAAAGATTGTTGGTGTTTGTTGTTTGTTGCTATGGTGACAATGAACCAGCTCGCTGTTCTGCGATTTTCTATGAGCAGATTGGCGTTGAAGCGCGGTGGAATTTGCGAGGAAAGGGGAGCCATAAATAACACACGGGATAGAACGCCAGACACAGTCTATATGGAAATCATGTCTGCACATTAATGTTTACTGTTAGAGGAATATATCTCAGCATATATATGTTAATGTGTGGGGCTGTTTTTGATTTCCAGGGGTGTTGTTTCTATGAGGGACAATATGGAGAAAAACCCGCCGTGAGGACGGAAATGAGGGCAAAGAAACAACAAAATAGGACAATGACCTGCTTCCTCAGGCAACTCATAAAGAAGACGAGGAGGAGGTGTAGTGTATTTCGATTGCTCATCCCAAACTCTTATTTGTTGTATTTGTTTTTTGAAGGATTGTTAAATTTGTCTTGAATAAGAAAAAACAAATTTTCTCCGATCATGCATTTAAAATGATACAATAAATTGTGGTGGAATTCAAACACAGCGTGGCAGAAAGTCAGAACTTTGTGAGACGCGTGTTCAGTTCTTTTGGTTCTTTGAGTGTAAACCAATGAAATATGGAAAATACTTCCCAGGAAAAGACAAACGCATTGAGCGTTTCTTTTCCTGCGACTGTGATGACACGTGTCATCCATTGACGGGTGGGACGTGGAGTCCTCCTCTGCCTCAGCCAGCGTCCATTGTTTCACATCTCCACGCTGCCCTCTCGGCCCAACGGGAGCAGAAGCGACTCACTGTGAGGACACCCGTAGGCCTCCAGCCGCAGTCCCATCCTCCCGCTGGGGTTCCAGCGCAGAGGGAGGAGGCGCAGGAAGCGAGCGACGGCCGGCTGCTGCAGTTTGTACTGAACCACGCTGTCTGCGTTACTGTTACCTGGGAAAGACTGGAACCCACAAACAAGAAACGCACATTCAAATTAACACAACTACGCACGGAGAATTGTGTTCCATTTAAACCAAACGGGACGTAGGATTAAGAATTGGGGCTTTGAATGATGCAATTGACTTTAATAAACTGTGAAAAGGATTTTAGAATGTTTAGTTAGCTCATGTCCCATAATTAAACTGTTATATGTCATTATTCTGGCTAACACACACTTCTGATTTTGAACCTCGTCATTCTCTTGGAAAATGGACTTTAAACCAAACAAAGAAAAATAAATTGACACAGAGGAATGGACACAATCGTATACATCTTTAACACAGTGACTTCAACAGCTGCCTCGGTCGAGCAGAGTGAAAGAGACATGATGGTCGAGATTAACTGTGAATGGGAGACAGGGATGAAGACACGGAGGAGAAAAGGCAGGGGAGGGAGAGAATGAAAAGTAAATGGCAGCAGGACGAAATAAAGGGGACAGAAGAGGCTGGTGAGGAGGTTGGAGGGGGGCGGGGGTCAGAAAATGAGAGCTAGGAAGTACAAGGGAGGGAGAACAATTTGAGAAGAACGGGGAAAAGATCCTTCCTCCGGGCAGGAGAACACAAACCGATAAAGATGAGAGAGAGAATATAAAGGAAAGATGGATTGCTATATTTTAAAGCTCCCACGGGCCAAAGTACAGAAAGTAAGGAGGAAAAAAAGGAAGCAGGCTTTTTCCTCCACTGGCGATTCTGCTCGAAGCCGAAGCTGCGGCATCCTCTGCCTCCTCTCGCCTCCCTGACTAATGCTCAGAAGTCGGGGGAACACTTTGAAACGCGGCTGGGTTTGTGCTGAGTTTATGCGGAGAGTCAGATCGACACGTTTTTTAAGCCGTGACAAAGTCGTCCCTCCCGCTCCCCGACGAGACGAGTCCTCGCTTGCCGAGATTAGCCGGACTCCCTTCCATGTGGGCGAGTTGGCTCGGCTCTACTTTTAATCAAAAGCTCCCCTCTGCATCACCGTGACAAACGCCGGGTTCACCCGGGGTTTAATGTCCATGCCAACAGAAGGCAAAATATTACACCTGTTCTATTTATTGTATTTGGCATCACGAGGGGAGCAAGTCACGGTAAAGCGTCACGGTGTCAAAACAACATGCGGTTGCACGGCGGGACAAATACGAGGCCGACATCACACATCACAGTGTGCGTGCGTTTTCCACGAGAACCCTCATTTGTTTATCGTGATCTAATAACTATGAGGACATCCTCGGTGCCTCGCACAAGCTGCTGTGTCCTCCTCCACAAACAGCAGTGAGGATGACAAAAAGTGGATGTCAACAGGTGTGTCGAGTCAGCAGAGACGCAGCCGCGGTTGGTGGATTATAAATGAGGCGGTGATGACTCGACGGAGCCACGAAGATCACTCCGTACGAACACCACCGAACTAAATGAGCTGTTAGCGTTGTTCCCTGCGACCTTCGACCCCCCCGCTGTCGTTTTCCGACTCCACTCACCCCGATGCTGTCCTCCTGCCGGTGCTGTTTCCAGTTGTGCCCCGTGTCGCTGAACATCAGCAGGTACGACGTCAGCCAATCAGAGCTGCCGTAGCGGCCCTGCGTGGCGACGGCGGCGATCTTGGTCCGCTGGCCGAGGTCGACCTCCAGCCACTGATACCCGTCTGAGGTGAGAGGAGACCAGCCTCCGGCGCCTGCGGGCACGAGTCATTTATTAGATTTCCCGTCCTCGCCGGAGGAGGCGAAATAATCTCTGGTAGATACTGAGAAATAAATTGCATTGCTTGACCTTTTATTCTGAAGGGAAAGAAAATCACACTTTTCTGTTATGAAAGCAAAGTGAAGAGTGAAGAAAAAATTGATTGAACAACAACAAACACCTGGAAATCTATTCTCAGGCAATAATGGGATTTGAATCACACTTTCGGAACTTTTCAGCTGGATTTGAATTGCTAATCTTCTCAGTGTTTACAGTGGCGCCGGTTTGTCTCCTTTTATTATTTCTAGCGGAGAAACAAGCGTATCGTGTTCAGTCGTGAGAGAAAAACATGCAGAACAATCCGATTTTCATACTTCACCCGTCAGAAGAGCAGAAAAAAAAATAAAAGATCCGCCAAATAAAACCACAAAATCCTAAACTACATGAGTAACACCGGGGTTTTTCATATACTACTGAGTATTTGAGTGTGAAAGTATATCAGCTGCTTCAGCCACGACACGTGATGTTTACCCGCAGAACACAAACCAGGTGACCGGAGCGGAATTATTGAAGAAATGTGCACGTTTCCTGCAACCTTCCTCTGATGCAATACGCTTAGTCACACTGCACATGATGGATTCTACACAAGGTGCATGCTGGCAGCCGTTTGTTTATGTGTGTGTGTGTGTGTGTGTAACCATGCACACTGCACACACTGCCAATGCAAATGTGTGTGTCTGGTTCGAAGGGGGGGGGGTTGACAGAAGTCTGCGCGCACAGATAAACTGGGGTTTGATTGAATGGGCTGCTGCACAATAAAGACATTTCCAATACGGGAAATATGCACCAGGATGTGTGTGTGTGTGTGTGTGTGTGTGTGTGT